CAAACCCTAATAAGGCTGACAATTTAGGGAACAGTGGGAACCACACCTCCTTGGATTAGATTAGATTCTCTCTCTCTCTCTTTTTCTATCCCTTCTTTTCTTCTTCAATCAACAACCGCCTCCCTCCTCAATTTCCTAGAAGTTTCAGAGCTTGACCAAACTCCAAATTCCTTCTCCTTCTTCCTCTTCTTCTGCGATCTTTGTGTTCTCTGGCTCTGATTTCATTTTTCGACTTTCGTCAACGCGTCTGTGATTTTGATTTCAGGTATTTCCTGGAATCTTCTGGAGTGTTTTCAATTTCACAAATTGTGTTTTGTTTCCGTCGATTTAACTAGATCTGATTGGTTTCATCGCCATCGGATTCGTCGGTGTGTTTTTGGCAATTGCTGGTTGTTTAGCGTTTGGGGATTGTAAAAATGTTATACTTGTGAAGCAGAAAACTTTCTTTTTAATGGATCATCCGAAGTTCCCTTTTTTTTTTTGCTTGGAACGTTTTAAACCTCCTGGAGTTTGTTTCGTGGATTCATTTATTACAACATAAACTGCCCAAACACGGTCTGCTTTTTTGTTTAGGCTTTGGGAATTGATTGTATTTTGTGGGCTTGATTGAGGATTTAATTGGTGTCCACATGGTTGCTTAGTTTCTTAATTATACCTGAAAATGACCTTACAGTTGGAGAATTGATTGAATATGTTATATATGTTATGTTCCAATTCAGTTTATATGTTCATCTTGGATGATTGCTTCTGTGCTTTTAATCTGGGACTTAGTCAAGGAAAAATAAAATGAAATAATTTTTTTTATTGTTTCGATTAACCGATCAGCCATGATGTGTTCTTTACTTGTCTTCAGATATGTGTGAATCGTTATAGTAGTCTATATATCATATTTTCCTGATTTGTTTGTCGTTGACTGAGAATTTATTGTGTTATCTTGGAGTTCATTGTAATTGTTTTGGGTTCTCTTGTTAAGGTCCTTAACTTTTTCTTGTGTGCAGGAGCTTCAAATTGGTTGAGTGTGATAGCTAGAAGATTCAGAGAAACCGCGTTGTCTTTGTAGCTAACTGAATTTGGTTTGTAGAAAATAGAAGTTTAGCTGCATATATCGTAGTGCAGTTGTTGAAATTGACTTCAAAATCACATCGAGGTCCTGCTAAATGCTATTGAATTTTATTTATAGACAGAAAGAAGGGTAATAATAAGCTTGCGAAATCTTGGAGTCATGCCTGTATCAGGAAATGAAGAGGTGTTTATTTCATTTTCCAAATTACTGCTAAATGAGATTAGAGTCTCGTTCGAATTTATTGTTTTTCTGAATATTGATCAATTAAATCTTCTATTGGCAGACTGGGGTTAAACCCGTTATCCGGAAATCTAGTGATTATGTTGCAGGTGTTCCTATCAAGAAAAGGAGGTTTCCTATAATGAGGCCTCCATCACCCCCTTCTGAAGAACAAACTTTGTTTCCTAAAAAAGAAGAATCATCTTCCTTTCCTGCAAAAAATGATTCACTTCAGAAGGAACAATCTAGCCCATCTCAGGGGTCGACTCTTTCATATGCTAGTATCACCAGT